CTGGGAAAAAACAAAATCCAAAATTTCATGCCTAAAGACTCTTTCCTTAGAAAATCATCTACACATATAATTCTTCCAATTAAAATAAATCCATGAAAATGATAGAAGAAATCAAATTTGTACCTCAAAAACTTAGTTTTTCATCCCTCTTATTTTTTTTCTTTTCTCCTCCTCTTCATATTCTTCCCTCTTTTCCTTTTATTTAATCCTAGTTTTTCTATGTTTCTCCTCAACTGCTAAGCGAGAGCAGCTACTCTATTTTCAACCACCAGAAACAATGATGAAAGAAAGGAACAAATGGTTTTATAATAATTAATCATAGTCTCTTTATATATATATATATATATATATATATTCTTTTTTTTTCTTTTTTTTTTTGTGGGAAAGAGCAGCGGTAGCTCCCTAGGCTTTAATATTTAAAAAGAAGGTACAAGGATAGGGAGGGGGAGAGGATCCCCTTCTAGAATATATTGCGATTTGTGTGTTGTATTGTGTGAGTTTGGCTTTCATTTGGGCCCTAATACAACATTTCTATATCTTTTCCACTTTAATATATTAGCCCTTGGGATTTTTCTCTCGCTCTCTCTCTCTCTTTCTCGCTATATATATATATATATTTATTTATTTATTTATTTTTTTTTGAGAAAGTCCAAATGCTAATATATTAAAAGGAAATAAGGATACATATAGATTGTGTGGAAAGGCCCAAGCATGGCACCCTTTCCCCACGATAACCATCACATACAAAAGATTCCAAAAAAAGAGAAAATACAGAAAATTACATGAGACCTAAAGAAAAAAACAAAAATACCAAAAAAACGTAGTATCAGGTAGCTAGAGAGCGACCCAATTTTTCTTTGCCTCTACCTCTAGTTCTACGAAAGAAGCCAGCTAATAAATTGGTAAGATGAGTGTCATTGTCAGTAGTGACCAAAGTATCATCCAATAAGTTTCCAAGCTCGAGTCAGCCTCCAGTTTTCTTCTTTCTCTTGGAATAGACTTGTCATTCTTCATCTGAAGATTGCCTCACCTGATCAGTGGATTGGTCTAAAGTGTGTCGGACATGCGTATAATATTGAACATTAGAAGTAACCGCTTGTTGTACCAGCTGATCTTTGATATATATATATATATAATTGGGCTTTTTCTATA